AATCCCACCCAGCCAACTGTACCTAGGAGGTCAGTTGGCTGGGTGGGATTATTGAACATCTACAGACTTAGGGACAGCTTTTTGATTAAGGGGTGCCCTCGAAGGCACATTAGGGAATACTTAGCAACCGTTACCGTTGCAAGACACTTAGCAATACTATTAGCGAGTTGTGTGCTCTCTATATATATCTCTTTAGTAAAGATACTCTGCCACTTGCTACATGTATCAGCCTTTAGTTGCTTATTCCCAACTGTTACATTGTTGCACTTCAAACTACCAAGTCCAACTCTTCAGAGCAGTTTAGTGTTGGTGATTTCCAGCGTCGGTTAGTTTATTCTAGCATTTATCTAGTTTTTTTTTGTTTGTTTTTTAGAAACTTTTGTTAAACACATATTCTCTGTAGATCCCATTTACTTGGAGGCTTGTAGGCAGAACTACTTTACCTATTTTAGAAGATCTACCCTTTCTACGCTATATTTCCTTTATCTATAGGAACATACGCAGATTGTTTCAACATTTAGTACATATTCCCTTTGTGGTCTGATATTTATTTATTTATTTTTGCTTATGTGTTTTCTTTTATTGGTGGGTGTTATTGTATTTTGTCTACCACACTTTTTAATTAGTATTTATTAAAGGTCAAGTTTTAATACACATATATATATATTGTTTTAAACAGTCATTTTCTAACTTAATTAGGTAGCTTTCCACTTACACTAGCATACTATACCAATATTTTTGTTTATTTCATTTACTTTTTGGATACATAGTAATCCTTCTATTTTTCTCTTTTTGTGCGATTTATCCACATGGGTTACCCCCCACTTTAGGAGGTGTCGGCTCCCCAATATCTTATTTTCTTTCCTGTTTTGGATTTCTATTAGGATAAAAATATATATCCAAAGCTTTGAAATTGGCAGTGAGTACTGTTCAATCACTTATTAAGAAGTAGAAAATCTGGGGATCTCTTGATACCAATCCAAGGTCAGGTAGACCAAGAACGATTTCAGCCACAACTGCCAGAAGAATTGTTCAGGTTTACAAAGAAAAACCCACAGGTAACCTCAGGAGAAATACAGGCTGCTCTGTAAAAAGATGGTGTGGTTGTTTCAAGGAACAGAATACGATGATACTTGAACAAAAATGAGCTGCATGGTCGCGTTGCCAGAAAGAAGCCTCTACTGCGCCAGTGCCACAAAAAAGCCTGGTTACAATATACCCGACAACATCTTGACATACCTCACAGCTTCTGGCACACTGTAATTTGGAGTGACGAGACCAAAATAGAGCTTTATGGCCTTAATCATAAGCACTATGTTTGGAGAGGGGTCAACAAGGCCTACAGTGAAAAGAATACCATATCCACTGTGAAGCATGGTGGTGGATCACTGATGTTTTAGGGGAATGTGAGCTCTAAAAGCACGGGGAATCTTGTGAAAATTGATGGCAAGATGAATACACGTTATTAGAAAATACTGGAAATTTGCATTCTTCTGCACGAAGGCTGCACATGCGACGCTCTTGGACTTTTCAACATGAAAATGACCCTAAGCACAGGGCCAAGTTGACCCTCCAGTTATTACAGCAAAAAAAAGGTGAAGGTTCTTTAGTGGCCATCAGAGTCTAATGCCTTAATATCTGGGGAGGGAGATCTCAAACGTGTGGTTCATGCAAGACAATCAAAGACTTTGCATGACCTGGAGGCATTTTGCTAAAACAAATGGGCAGCTATACCACCTGCAAGAATTAGGGGCCTCATAGAAAACTATTACAAAAGACTGCATGCTGCTATTGATGAATACACGGTATTAAGAACAATGGGTATGCAGACTTTTGAACAGGGTTCATTTAATTTTTTTTGTTGTTGCCATGTTTTGTTTTATGATTGCGCCATTCTAATATAACCCACAGTTCAATATTAATCCAATAAGAAATAAAAGAAATATGTTTTGCCTGCTCACTCATGTTTTCTTTAAAAATGGTACATATATTACCAATTCGCCAAGGGTATGCAAACTTTTGAGCACAACTACGAAAAAAAAGAGGGAAAGAGGTTTAGGTCCCTTTAAAGACTATCCAACCAAAAGGGCCTTGTAACGGCACCCTCAGCATTAAATAGACAAACCCCCGTTTAGTGAATCCTCCCCTCTCAACATAGCACAAGCTTCATTCGTATCAACTGCAACCAAGCGAATTGCAAGCAGGGGAACGCTCCAATCTCCCGAACATATTTATGCAGGTCTCCCACTTGGTGGACACTCCCCTAGGGGACCAAATGGGAGACTGTAATGGCAGATAGACATACAGCATTTCAGGACACACAGGCACATAATATTCCCAGTATGCATCATGGTTTCCTCCCCTCTGCCCTGGAGATAATTGAGAAGTAATTCAATTATCTCCCAGGACAGAGGCAAATCGCCATTTTAGATACAACCCAAAAAACACATAAAAATACATAACTTTACAATTGCCTAACATTTCTCATTTGTGTAACACATCCCCAGATCTGGATCTGAGTGCATATTATTGGCGAATAGCGCTCAGATCCCATACGCATAGTTCAATCGCCATGGAGTCAAAGTCTATTACAGTCTTTCGGTATGCGATTGACTCAATGGGAAGGCTATCTGGGTTAAGTCCATTTGTGCGTTTCAAACTCCCGAACGGCCGGTGTTTGTATACTTTTGGCGATTGAGAAGGGAGGTCGGTGGCTTCAGTTTTCAGTTCCATAGAATCTGGGCTGAACACCGCTGGTCTTTTGCCTGTTTAAAATGGCCGCCGCCTCGTGGTCGACATACGAACGATGACCACACTGCATTCGGTTTTAATTGAGAGGTGTCTGCGGTTAACCACAATGTTCTAATTGGGATCAAGAGGTTAACCAGCAGCACACTTCTCTTCTGGGTGGCCGTCCGTTCGGTAGTTTTGTTCGGCAGAAAAGTCAATTAAACGAACAGGGGCATACGAACAGGTAATTGCACGAAAAGGCAAAACAGACGAACCAGCAATCCCAGTCTATACAGATGGATCTGTCACAAGCCTAACCCTAATAGTAATTACAGAAAATAGTTCCTCTAAAAAGGAACCCAAAAGGGGTGTTGAATAGCCTTATTAAGTCAAAGAGCTTAAAGATAAATATCAGATAAAGGAAAACCAAAAATAACAGTTAAAAATGTAGGAGCAACATAATAGAGAAAGAACTAAAAAACAATACCCTCTCATATAGCCAGTGCTAGGGGGAATTCCTTTATTTAGTTGCTAGGGTATTTGTAGAGTGGTATGTCCACTAAATGTCTCATAGTAGGAGTAACTACAGAGAACCACAAAAAGCCTCAAAGAGTTGCTAATAGTGTTAACCTCTTATGCTTAGGTGGTAACTCTGTATCGGTGATATCACAAAGGATACAAGTGCAATTTAATCAGCACGTATACCTCCCTGAGTTTACTGAAGGATATAACTCCTAAATACACAACAGTTTATAGCCAATGTGCAATTATAAGGTTTAAGTCCCTACAGGTATTAGATCAACTTCAGTTTAACAGCTGCCTGAATGGATGAGTTGTACACTTGGTCCATACATATTCATCTGGAGCCTCCTTGTACCAAAATGGTTAATAAATAAATAGACCTAACATAAACTCAATCGCTGGTCCGTCACCACTAACTACAACTGCCTCCTAAATGAGAGACTGCCTAAGTAATTAGCTAATCGTTCCTACATTAAAATGCCCATCACCACACCAAATAAAAGAAAAAAGTGTGTGAAACGCCTGACGCGCGTTTCGGCGCTGCTAAGTGCGCCTTCGTCTGGGGCTAGAGAAAAGAGGCCCCCCACGTAGAGCTTTCTTTTTTTTATCCTTCCAATCCGGCTGCCCTCCATACAGACTTGCTAAAGCGCTCAGACGGCGCAGCATGAGGAGCCGCACTGGTGACTCCGGGCGCAGGGATCCGGCGGCCCCTGCTAAGGTGCGCCCTAGGTGGCTGCCTAGGTCGCCTTACAGGTAGTGCCGGCCCTGGTCGCAGGGGTCACACGGCTGCGACCCCTGCGACCACGGTATGTACGCCACTGCATGCAGATACATACACTTAAATGACCACTATAGGCACTCAGATCACTTCAGCTCAATGAAGTGGTCTGGGTGCCAGGTCCCTCTAGTTTTAACCCTGCAGCTGAAAACATAGCAGTTTCACAGAAACTGCTATGTTTCACTGAGGGTTAATCCAGCCTCTAGAAGTTGTCTCAATGACAGCCGCTAGAGGCGCTTCCGCGATTCTCACTGTGAAAATCACAGTGAGAAGACGCTGGACGTCCATAGGAAAGCATTGAGTAAGGCTTTCCTATGAGCAGTTTTAATGCATGCACGGTTCTTGCCGCGCATGCGCATTCGAGCTGAGAAGTGGATCGGGGCGGAGAGATCCCCAGCGCCAAGGGAGCCCGGCGTTGGAGAAAGGCAAGTGCTGAAGGGGTTTTGACCACTAGCTAACAGACACACACATTTCCTGACAGACACACACTCAGTGACAGACATACATACACACTCACTTACAAAACACTCTTACTGACAAACACACACTCACTAACAGACACCAAACAGACTCACTAACAGACACACACACAACTAACACACTCAGTAACAGACACACACAGTAACACACTCACGGACACACACACACTGACCCTCACTAGCAGACACATACTCAATAACAGACACACAAACACACACAGTAACACACACACAGAAAAACTAACACACTCAATGACACACTAGCAGACAAACACACAACTAACACACTGAATAACAGACACACACACATACACAGTAACACACACACACAGACACACAAAAATTCACACACACACTAACACACATATACATATACATATGTACATATAAATATTTTTTAAATTGCATCCTCCAGCCTCCCTACCTTTGGGAGAGCTGAGGGGATTCCCTGGGGTCCAGTGGTGCTGCTGGGCGACCGGTCAGTGCGAGCGCGTGAGGGAATATTCTCCACTGAGCGCTCTCTGCCCAGCTCCCTCGCACGCTGCTTACTGATGCAGGAGCCGGAATGAAGTCATATTCCAGCTCCGACATCAGTGCGGTGCACGCGAGGGAGCTGGGCAGAGAGTGCTCATGGGATAATGCTCCCTTGCATGCATGCCATATAGCACCACTGCCAGCCTCGGGGGGCCCTGAGGTGGCTAGCTCCTGGGCCCCCCTGGAGTAAAGGCTGGCATACTGGCATACATATCCGCTCGCAGGGCGTCCGGGCCCTCTGGAGGACCAGGCCCGGTCGCAGCTGCAACCCATGCGACTGCGGTATGTATGCCAGTGTCCTTAGCTCCCACACTATAGCTGGGACCTCATCAAATACCAAGCCATTGATCTGGGTGATCCAGCTCTGTGTAGAACTCTGTACACCTCCATTATGGGAAAAATTCCAGCATTGTGATGGACAACTCTGGGACTGCCACCCTTTTTATTGTACTAGTGTTACCGGGTAACACTGAAGAAGCCACGCACAGAGAGTCCGGACACAGGTCTTTTCAGGAAGTAAAGGTCTTTATTCTCAACGATCGGGTCTCAGCTGAACTCCTGTTCAAAAGGTCTGAGCACTGAGCACATGGAGTAGAGGCTTTTTATAAGCTATACATCCCCCTATCTGTACCCTTACACCAATCAGCAAACAGGATACACAAGATTCCCTTATATGGACAGGCAACATGGCCCTTGAGGAGAATGGAATGTGGTTTCAGTTCTTGCACATGCTCAGTACATTGATGACAGTATCTTATCTACATATAACTAACTAACAGATACAACAGATACCTGTACTTGTATATGTCACATGGAGATTTTAGGCTTAAAAATTTGGGGCCTAGCTGAAATCCCATCACACTAGGACTCGATGTAATGCTGATATCTGAGGAGGCAAAACTTGTAACATATACTTCTATTTGCCCTATGACACCAGCACTACAATATATTTTCTTAACCCCTATTTTTAATAGATATTGTAACGGCACCCACAGGCATAAAATGGGTTAAAAGCCGTTTAGTAGATCTTCCCTTCCAGAGACACAGGCACAGCTACTGCAGAACACAAAACTCCCAAACTGGATACAAGGGAATGCTCCAAACTCCCGAACTGGAACCTCACGAATAGCTGCTAGCAGCTGAACAGGAAAAGCACCCAAGCGGCTTACACTCCTGGCAATCAGTCTCTAACAGCATACAGTAAATCCCCCCTAGAACGAGACAAAGCTCCGTGTTGAGGGTCAAGCAGTGAACAGGCAGAGCTGTGGGTTTATTGTTCTTATATACACATTCTTACACATTAGTACCACCTACAGGATTTTGTAAAACAACCAATAAACACGTACAATACACTCAGACACTCCCACACAAAATCCTCTCCACTGCCTGTGATACAATTACCTTAAACAATGGGTTAATGTAATTATCACAGGCAGAGAAATACAGTTTTTTCACATTATTCATAACTTTAAAAGTATGCACAAGTATCACATTCACATAGAACTTACATTTTCAGAATCAGCATACTCCAAATACAAACATACATCAAAATCATCCAAATTGGTCCATTGGTTCAAAAGATAGATCGAAGTCCTTTGTGACCAAATGAAGCATGGCTTTTCTGCCCAAAACCAGTTCCACAGAGTCTTCTATCCTAGAGATAATTGAGAAGTAATCCAATTATCTCCAAAGACAGAGGCAAAACTCCATTAGCCACATGGTAACAAAAGACAATAAAATACATAAAAATATATAACTGTGTAGCTATTGCATAAAACAGGTACATTCAACATATCCCCAGATAGCTTAGATCTGAGCGCACATTATTACTGAATGGCGCTCAGATCACATACATACAGTTCAATTGCCATGGAGCCAAAGTCTTTCACATAGTCTTTCGTTATACGAATGGGCTCCATGGCATAGCTATCTGGGGTATCACTGTTCAAATAGCGCAAGTACCGAATGACCCGGATTTCGTGTCTTTGCAGGGGAAAATCAAGCGTTTCAACATGGGGCCATAGTCTAAAGGCAGCAGGCAGGCAACCAGGCTCCTCCAATGCACAGTGGCGAGATTTTGTGCCTCCAACATGGCTCACTGTCAATCAATGATATAAGCTCTGATCTTTGCACCTCTCAGTCATCATAGAGAAAAAAAAAGTCATAGGTGATGTTCAATGATTTATTCAGAAGAGAGATGGTTCCCCTTTATAGACTGAAGCTGGTGGGTAGAAATGACAGTTATTTCAGCTGTGGAACGGCTGAAATATATGCAGTCCTAAAGCCATAGTGATAAGTGCAAATGTTGTAGCAGATAAGAATAAAAGAATGTTCCTGTTACTTTTAACTGTGATATCACTATAATGTCCTTTTAATCAACAAGATAATAGAATAGTACATTGCAAAGGTCTCTCATTTTAATTCATTGATATTCCACTCATGAGTGCGCTCGCAACTTTTAAAACAAGCTGAAAGATCTTCCCTAACTTTCATTATTCTTGTGCTGACGCTCACAGCTAAAGACCGGCAAATGCATGTAAATGGTATCTCTTGCCTAATTGCATTCATTGCAATGGTTTCCCTTGGGTAGATATTCATTTGTATGTTTCCCTATTTACATACTCTAACGAGATGGGCTATAATTGGTCTTTATTGATTTCGTTTTCATTGAGCTACAATAGAGTAAGAACTTTGTAAGCTCGGAGAGTTGATTGATCTCTGGAAAGATTCAAGACTATTCAGTTGTAGAAATAATTAATTATCTTCCTATTTACTAATAATGCTTAGATTATTCTGAGCATGACACAATTCTGCTTTATTTAATTGAGAAGAGGAAAATTATATTTTGATTGGATTGACGATGAGGTAGACTCACAGGAAACTCTATTTTTGCCGTGTGCACTAATAGAAAATAACCCCCCAAAATATATCCATGTTTATTGAGTATCAAACAAAACCTAAATATAATAACAAAATTAAAGGTACATTGACCCATAGTCTTTTTGCATGTTGTATAGATTATGTATTCAATTAAAATAAAATCCAAAATAATAACACATTCAAAAACTTACCAAGCTTGTTAAAAATTCCCACACATTAGATACTTGAATCGAACTAGTTTGCAAACCATGTAGCTTGCCCAACAAGTACACTCAAGGTGTCAGGTCCTAAGCGAATCCTTAACACTAATTATAAGTGACAAAATGGTGACGACACCAAATCAACCGGCCACTAAACCCCATAGCATGTTATCACACTATCAAATAAGATCTGTTACAGGCATTAACTGTTCAAACGAGGAAGTACAATATAGGTTTCCACAGCACAGTAATATGTTTCACTTACATGCCTACTATGCCTTATTCTGACAGTGCAGCAGTTTAGATCAGCTTGTCATACACACAGAAAGTTGTGAAATCTTTGGTTTGACTTAAGAACCAACCTGAATCCTCTAACATCTCACCGCTAGATTAAGCATTAATCCATCCACCCATTCCCTGCATAACGTTACTCTAGACATCAGTTACTACTACTTACAATGTGCAGGACTTCTATATAAATCTACAGTATAAGCATGACTACATTATATAAAAATGTGCATTTCTCTTTTCTGCCATGACATTGTATAACTGTTTGACTATATCGGTTTGTTGTGCCGTCGTGGCTCTGCAGACCAGTTTGTAATTCTCTGCACGAAAAAAAAAGAATAAAAAAAAAAGAAAAAAAAGAATGTTTTCCCAAGTTTTTAGGGTCTAAATTATATCCCGTAATAACGTGTTGTAAGTGTGAGAATAGAAATTCCAAAAAAGCTGCCTTACTAGAATGCAGCCAATAGGAAAAGAACCCAGTCCAATCTCAAAAAAAAGTATAAATAATACCAAAAAATAATAAAACTTTATTAGAATATAATAAAAGCCTAAGACTAATCAAAGATTTCTAAGGTCTAGTACTAGGAGAGGTATAACATATAAAAAAGCCTGAGAGACTGCCAAAAAAATAAAGGAGGCAGTAAACTAAGCTTGTATTGCATATACCTTAGGGAATAACAGCATAGAGGACCTAAGTAGGCGAGAGAGGATACATATGTAGTATATAGTATTTGGAAGCCCAAAAGAAAGGGGGTACAAATGCCCCAATTATAACATAAAGGGAACCAGTAAAGATACTAAACCAGTAAAGTTTTTTTGTTTTGCACCAACGAGCACTGGGCACAATGTTTATTTGACTACAGATATCTAGGTTTAGATACTAGATTAGAACACCCATGAAGGTGTTATTCAGGAGATAGTGGATTAGCTTAGAGTGATGGTTTAACTGTAGGATTCGTCCTTTTGATTTGGGCAGGGGGGGGGGGTTGATTTTGGGTTTAGTATCTTTACTGGTTCCCTTTATGTTATAATTTGGGCATTTTTACCCCCTTTCTTTTGGGCTTCCAAATACTATATACTACATATGTATCCTCTCTCTCCTACTTAGGTCCTCTATGCTGTTATTCCCTAAGGTATATGCAATACAAGCTTAGTTTACTGCCTCCTTTATTTTTTTGGCAGTCTCTCAGGCTTTTTTATATGTTATACCTCTCCTAGTACTAGACCTTAGACATCTTTGATTAGTCTTAGGCTTTTATTATATTCTAATAAAGTTTTATTATTTTTTGGTATTATTTATACTTTTTTTTTGAGATTGGACTGGGTTCTTTTCCTATTGGCTGCATTCTAGTAAGGCAGCTTTTTTGGAATTTCTATTCTTTAATTTATTATTCTTGGGTTACCCCCTATTACCCAGTTTAGGTGACCATATTTACCCAAGGGAAGGAAGGGGGGCAGGGGTTTTTCTCTGTCCTACCTTCCGGTCCCTTGTGTATATATTCTTATTATTATTGTGTTGTAAGTGTGTTTAAGCAAATAGTCTGAGCTCTTGGTGAGTTTAAGTCCCAAAAACACAACACAATCGGATTTCCAGTCCAGTGTGAAAGAGGAGCATATAGTGTCTAAAGTATTTTCTGGGATCTGCGTGCCCAAGGCTTGCATTTTTGTGACATTAAATTTATAACACGAGTGGTTTCAATATTCCTTTATTACAGCAAGAAGATTTGGGAGGGAGACCTAAGGCAGTGTG